TGATTTTTGTGTTCAGGGAAAACGCTCCTTTTTTTTTTTTTTTTTTTTTTTTTTCCCAAGCCACTAGGTCTGAGACTTAAACTATAGAGTTGGCCAAGTGGGAGCTATCTCCTTAACCTCCATGGCATGTGCTGGTCCTGTACTTGACTCTGAAAAATTATGAAACTATGGAAAATTTTAAAAAGTAGTGAAACTCACACTAATGACTAAATCCTGACATTGGATGATTTACTAGCAGATGCCCAGATAACATAATAGTTACGTTGCTAGACTCCCACGTAGCTGACCATGGTTTGAGTCTCGGACTGGAAGGCTTAAAACTCACTCTGGGTACATGCGCATGTGTGCTCAAAATCCTGAGAGGAGAATGGAGAAGGGATAGAACTGTGGCCATCCCCTCAGGGGGGTGATTTCTTGCTTTCTTTCCGTCTCCCTGGTGAGCGCACGTGCTCTGTAGCAAAAATCACTCTTTAGAAAGAGATAGTAGTTTTATTTATTATTATTGTTAATTTTTAATTTGTCCAATGACAAATAGAGAAAGTCAGAAACCAAGTCTCTGGGTCTAGGACTTGAACTGCAGTCGACCATGTGGGAGTCCAGCACCTTAACCACTATGCCAGATGCCAGCCCCTTTATGTACCAGTTTTTCTCTGAAACCATTTCACAGTAAATTGCAAACATCAAAGATATCCAAGAAATCTAGCGTTAATCCTATAATATTACCTAACATATAGTTGTCAATCAAATATTTCCTATCCTTCCTTTTCCATCCATGATCCATCAAGGAACACCCATTTGATTGTCATGACTATTATAGTCTTTAAACTGGGCCATGAACATTGGGACCAGCAGTTAGCGTAATGGCTATGTTGCTGGACTCCCATGTAGTCGACCGCTGTTCAAGTCCCAGACCAGATGGCTTAAACTCACGCCGGGTGCATGTATGTGTGTCCCCAAGATCCCAAGAGGAGAATGGAGGAGAAGGGATTGCAGCATGGCCATACCCCCGGGGGGTGGTTTCTCACTTTCTGTCTCTATGTCTCTGTCTTCCTGCCGAGTGCATGTGCCCTATAGCAAAAACAATAACTGGGCCAACATCCTTGCTCTAACTTTTGTCTCTTATGACACTGACATTTTTTTAAGAAAATAGGTCCATCATCTAGCAGACTTTTCTACAATCTGGATTTGTCTGATTCCTCATGTTTAGATTCTAGCTAAACCATGCAGGTATACTTTTGCCTTTTGAAGACTTGCAAATATAAGCATAGAGCTAGTGTGCATTTTACAAAAACAAACATCTTTAGGTATAGAATGTGTTTTCAGATATAACCTAGGCCTTATTACCCACCTGTTTCTTTTTTTTTTGGAGAGGTTTTTGTCATAGGGCACGTGGGCTCACCAGACAGACAGAGAGAGACAGAGAGACAGAAAGTGAGAAATTGAGAAATCACCCCACAGGGGGGATGGCCACACCGCAATCCCTTCTCCTCTGTTCTCCTCTTGGGATCTTGGGCATGCACGCACACGTGCCCGGCGTGAGTGTTAAAGCACTGGGTCCGAGACTCGAACCACGGTTGACTGCATGGGAGTCCAGCGACATAGCCATTATGCTAACTGCTGGTCCCTGCCCACCTGTTTTTTTAAATAATTTGTGCTGCTGCCCCTGAGACTTTAAGCATGTAACTCCCCTCCCCCCGCTCCCCATATTCACCTCTCCTTATGTAGCTAAGAAAACTCAGGCCTAGAAAGGTTAAACTGTTGATGAACATACAGTTAATAAGGGACTGAACAGTCAGGTCCTATGACTTTGGTTTCTTGAAGACCCAGTGATTTTCTACTAAAGCTCCAGTGATCTGCATTGATGGGATAAGTAGAAAATCTGTAATCTTCTGTGAGTAGAAGAGGTAAAGAAATCAGATACTGCAAAATGAAGTTCTATGCCATTTTAGGATTGATGGTGCTCTCACAACTCTTTACTATTTTTCTTAATAACTTTCTTTCCTTTTTAGCTACAAGGCTTTGGCCGACCAAGTGTATACCATGCTGCTATCGTCATCTTCCTTGAATTCTTTGCATGGGGCCTGTTGACAACACCAATGTTGACTGTAAGTATTACTGAACTGAGTCCTTGTTTATAAGAGCAAGAGAGTTCTTAGACTTAAACTCACAGGTGTGTGTTTGGGAGTAGCTTCCCCACCCCCAACATCACCAAATAATTTATTTGGAATCAGAATTAAAAGAGCAGTCGACAGCTGTGAAATATATGTTTATTCTGATACTTCTGTAGTTGTACAACTGACTCATCACAAATTACTGGATTAATGTTATTTTACTCCTTCAGGATCGGGGTTTATCGATTTCAAATTTGGGATCTTCATACTTGAAGTTAGGGAACATGTTCATGTCTTCTTTACCATACATCTGCTTCAGCTTAAAAAGCTCCCTCTCGGGAACCAGCAGTTAGCGTAATGGCTATGTCGCTGGACTCCCACGTAGTCGACCGCGGTTCGTGTCCTGGACCCGGTGGCTTAAAACTCACGCCGGGCGCGTGTGCGTGCGTGCCCAAGATCCCGAGAGGAGAATGGAGGAGAAGGGATTGCGGCGTGACCATCCCCCCTGGGGGGTGATTTCTCGCTTTCTGTCTCTATGTCTCTCTCTGTCTGTCTGGTGAGCGCACGCGCCCTACAGTGAAAATCTCTAAAAAAAAAAAAAAAAAAAAAAAGCTCCCTCTCCAGATCTTGCTGATATTCTGGGCCAGTATCAACAGGTGCTCTAGTTGTCTGTCATTTAGATTTATATAATCTTGTCCACAAACAGTTTCTGTACAGGATCAAGTTCCTTCTTAAATGTCACTGGTGTGACCCAGTGTTCCTCTTCAAATGAACTGAGACTGCTGATCAAATGATGAAGTGATAGAGGAGAATCTGAAGAGTCTCTGAAGAATCATGGTGACTCTTTGTTACTTGCACCCAGTCCCGAGCTGCCGTCGCCACCGTTCTTGGGAGTAGCTCTTGATAGTGAGCGATTTAAGATTAATTGTTCCACTGGGTTGTTTCCACTGTGTGGCTTATAAGCTACCTGCAACAAAACACCTTGTTAGATTTTCCTGACCCAGTTTTTTATAAGGTGCTGTTAGAAGATTGAGCTGTATATTTTTATGAAGATCTTTGAGATCCTTATAGCAAATAATCAGAAAGCATTGCTGAAGTTTATATCTTCTTTATGTAGATTTAGTTAATGACCTTTGGCTTAAAAAGATAGTAAATAAGAGATTGGTAAGTGTTAGGGTGATGTCTGCAGTATGTTAGAGTGGCTTAGGTCGTGGGCTGTGAAAGAATTCACAAACTCAGAAAGAAAGTGGATAGAAAGAATTTATTCACTTTCCAGCAGTAGAAAGGGACCAGATGCAGAAATTTGCTAGGGCACGGAGCTCTTATTGGGACTTAAAGAAAGGGGTTGGGAGGGCTAATGTTGGGTAAATAGGGTGATCCTGAGACAGGACGCCTGTCTTTCACCATCTCTGGACTATTTTATCGGTATCTCCGGTTGTCATATTTGATAACTTTGATATGCGGTAGCTTTATAGTTGTTGATGTTTCCATGTCAGCAGATGGGCCTCAGTCTCTATATTTGAAGGTGGAAACTTAGAAAACCAAACATCATCCATCTGTGATAAGGTTATCAGCTGGGGCAGCTAGCCCAGGAGGAAAAAGGAGGAGGAGAAAGAATGTTTGAAACACCTGGGAGTTTTAATGCGCCTTCTCCTTATAAGGTGTCAGTGAAACACATTGAATAAACCTAATGGCAAGGAGATTTTGAGATACTGAGTTAATCCTTTCCAATGTCAGTGTCTTAAGGCCAGTGGGTGCCTTGTAATCATTTCAATAAGTATTTTGTAATAATGAAAGCAACAAGTCCAACTTGGATGTTTGATGTAGTGATAGGAAAGAGAGGTGCCACAAAAGATTAAGGGGCAGATTATAGGTGCCTTATAACTATTTAAAAACTTATAAAGATATTTTAGCCTGAAATTTCAGTTGACTTGTTCTTTAAAAAGTATTGGTGTCTAAACTCTTCCTGATCATATTGTCTTACCAAAGAATTCCTTTGGGTACAGAAAATTTTTGTTCATCAGTTAGGTTTAGAAAATAGAAGACTTTTAGAGGGTTACTATTAGCCATTTAGCTTTACATAAGAATTTACAGTTTTTACTTGGGGTACTTTTAAGATGTGGTTAGATTAATAAGAGTAATTTGGGTGGAATAAGCAGACTTTACAGATTGCCTGTCTTTAATCTTCTGTTCTCTTTGCACTAGCTTTTCTTTCATAATGTTTTCCTTACAGTAGATAATTAGTTATTAGTTAATGAGGATAAATGGTTCTCATTTTGAATTTCATGAGACACTACCTTTCATCACTCTGTTCCTGGTTCCTGCTTGCCTGGTACACAGTTGGTTTTTGATAACTATTTTCTTTGAAGAAGAACATACATGGCAGGCACACACATTTGTCCTCAAGTCAGTATTTCTCTAAGACACATTTAGTATGAATATAGACATAACAGGCTACATTTTTTCTTCCAAATTTTTTTATTGTGTTAAATGCAGACAACCATCGTAACCATTTTGAAATGATATTAAATATATCCACAGTGTTGTGTAGTGATCACCACCATTCATCTCCAGAATTCTCTTTATCTTGTAAAAATGAAACTCTGTCCATTAAATGGTGTCTTAGTATTTCCTCCTGCTCTCTGCCCCTAGGAACCACTGTTTTCTTTTCTATTTCTGTGATTTTTGACTATTCTTAACTACATTATATAAGTGGAGTCATACAGTATTGACCACTTTTAACTACCTTATAAATGGAATCATACAGTATTTGTCTTTGTGACTAATTCATTTTACTTAGAAAGTTCTTAAAGTTCATCCTTGTTATAGCATGAGTATGAATTTCCTTTCTTTTTAAGGCTGAAAGATACTCCTTTGTATCTGTTGGGTTGTCTGAAAAGTCATAACATTTTAAAATTGTTCTTTATGCAAAAATATGTCATGACTTTTTAAATCTTTTTTTAG